AGAATTAAAGAGCCAAATTCAGCACTTGGTTATATCTTTGCAATGCCATAGATGTTAATGAAGTTGCAGAGATGTATCTAAGGATAGAATTTGACTAGCTCCTTCTTTTGTAGCTCAGGTGCCACATATGAAGAAAGAGCTCAGATTAGCTGTGCAGTGAAGATGTACTCTAAGAGTTAATTCCTGCTGGAGTTCTCCACATGTACATGGCAACCAAGCAGTGGCTGAAGCTCACCCAATTGCTGATACTCAAATGGACAAGGGAAATATTAATTCTTTTGAAGTTTATCTCCACCAGTATGGAATCAGGAGTCTGGCTGATCCTTGGAGGTGTGAGGGTGAAGATCCCAGCTTCTGACCTCATGGGATCTACAAGCAGGAGACTGGAAACAAAAACCTTGAAAGCCATTAAAAAGAGCATCCTGGGGAAATGGGGTAGGGGAAAGGAGAGAGAAAGAGAGACACTGGAGAGAGAGAAGCAGACTGTATCTTTTACTTAGTCTACTTAGTCTACAGGATTAAATTCAATAAGGACAAATGCATAGTACTTCATGTAGGAAGGAACAATCCGTTGCACACATGCAAAATGGGAAATGACTACCTAGGAAGGAGTACTGCGGAAAAGGATCTGGGGGTCATAGTGGACCACAAGTTAAATATGAGTCAACAGTGTAACACTGTTGCAAAAAAAGTGAAACATCATTCTGGGATGTATTAGCAGGAGTGTTGTAAGCAAGACACGAGAACTAATTCTTCCACTCTACTCTGCGCTGATTAGGCCTCAACTGGAGTATTGTGACCAGTTTTGGGCACCACATTTCAGGAAAGATGTGGACAAATTGGAGAAAGTCCAGAGAAGAGCACCAAAAAATGATTAAAGGTCTAGAAAACATGACCTATGAGGGAAGATTGAAAACTGTTATCCTGTCCCCTCTGTCTTCTCTTTTCCAGACTAAACAAACCCAAATTTTTCAAAAGGTTGTTACAAGGAGGAGGGAGAAGAATTGTTCTTTTTACCTCTTATCTTCTAACCTCTGAGGATAGGACAAGAAGCAATGGGCTTAAAATGCAGGAAGGGTGGTTCAGGTTGGACATTAGGAAAAACTTCCTAACTGTCAGGGGGGTTAAGCACTGGAATAAATTGCCTAGGGAGATTGTGGAATCTCCATCATTGGAGATGTTTAAGAGCAGGTTAGACAAACCCCTGTCAGGGACGGTTTAAATAATGGGGGACTGGAGTAGATGACCTCTCAAGGTCCCTTCCAGTCCTATGATTTAAAAGTCAGACCAATACAGCTACGTTGGTCAGTGATGTGAAAAAAACACACTCCTGACAGACATAACTATGCCAGCCTAACCCCAAGTGTGGACACAGTTAAGTCCGCAGAAGAATGATAGAAGTCGGCTAACTTAGTTCGAGGAGGTGTAGGCTGTTGGGAGGAGTTCAGAAAAAGTTCTTCTGTTGGTGTAGGTTGCATTTACACACTAGGGCGCTATGCTGGCACAGCTAAGCTAATGTAGCTATGCTAGTATAGTCTCTGTAGTGCAGACACAGCCTTGGTCCCTGTGAGGAGGAGGAGGGTGCCAAGGGTAAGTCAGGCCTACCTAAATCTTGAGAGAAATGCTAATCTTTGGTGTTTGTTATTTTAACCCTTTTTCTCTTTGTTTGATCTGTTCCTACAGATAAGTACATAATACTTTGTGTTGAACAAACTTTTCTCTGTCCTTTTTCATGCTGTTCTCAGTCCAGGAGGGAAGTCTGTAGCACAGCCAAAACAGTTGGACCTGCAGAGTAACTTGGGTGTTAAACAGGGATGCTGTAATGTGGAGACTCAGGCTCAGAATAGAGTAAATCATGGGGTTCCCCTACAGAGACAGAAGGGCAAGCATGAGCTTGTCACTCAAAAGAGGTGCCCACAGAGAGAATGAGTGAGGGATCAAAGACATAGGTTACCCTGGAACTGTGACATCACAAAAAAAGGTTTAGGGTCATCTTTCTCCATATAAAGACTGTGGACAGTCTTTTTCATTTTTAAAAAAAATCCATTTATAAAAACAAAATATACACTAGCAAGGTTATTTTATTAAAATTCTGTTGGGATTTAAAAATAAAAACCAATTTTGCTAAACCATTTCTCTTCTTCTAAATGCCCTTTAAGGTGGTTGATCTTCCCTTGTAGGAAGCTATTGGAGAACCAAATTTAAACTGTGCACTTTTTTTTGTGTTAAATCAGACTCACATTCTGAATAATACACCTATTCTTAATTTATTGTTAAGATTTATTTTAATAACACAATTATCATAGACAGGTTACTGGGTTTCTACTTTGCAGTGCATATAATTGAAACTTCTTGTCCTAAGTTTCAAGGCCTTGATGGACAATCTCTGCTGACCCTTTTAACTTGGTCTCCTTTTACGTCCCTTACACAGACAGGTGTACACACATGCCCCTTTTCCACATTTCACAAACATGAGTGAATTAGGAATCCCCAGTCTCATGTGGTAATATCATTTTACAAGTGGAGAAAATGAGGCACTTAGATGACTTGAGAGTAAAACATGGGATGATAAAGAGCACAGGCCTGAGAGTCATCTCAATGCCCTATGCTTTAACCATCAGACCATTTTCATTATGATAACCACAGTAGTCCAGGACTGGTATGTTCCTCATCTGCTGTTTGAATATTTAACTGAAGCAATATTTGCATATTGGGTACCAATATATTTTATAATAAAGTATAAAACTTACAATGGTATTATAGCTCCTCCTTTAAAGATAGTACAAACATTGCGTTCAAATTTTTGCAATGACTACTTTACTGATATATGGCTGTTCAACTCATGGGTATAGTCACTGTAACTCATGAAAATAAAACATGCCTCTCTCCTCTTAAGCATCCTTTCATTCTTTTTATTTTAAGTGAATAAATGTGTATATCTAATACATCTGTTTCACTCTGCCAGTTCCGAGCTCACTTTTGTGGTTTAAACTTACTTTTTCCAGTACTCCAAAATTTTGATTGCAAATAGAGTTTCTCGACCTCTTTTTTGCAAGGAGTATTCGCACAGAACCACTCATTGACTATTCTGACCAATGGAAGGCAGTCTCTGATTTACTTGATGCCTCTCTCAGATGTTCAGAAGGAGTCAATTTAGACTCTGATCACTTGTACAATAGTTGATAAATGCAACTGTATTTATTTTTAACAGATTAATGCTAATCCTACAAAGATTTACCCATATGCCTAATTTTATGTACATGAATAGTTGCATTGAAATGAAAGCGTATAAACTTCACCAGTAAAATTTAATCCATGCATAAATCTTTGCAGGATTGAGGACATAATCTCAAAGAAGGCTCAGACAATACAGCAAGAACAGTTTAAATAATTGCAGGGTGGAGATTTTTCCCTGGGCTTTTTTAACTAGGTGTAGTTACAGGCTGTAAAAATAAGATGTATGTAAAACAAAATTTCTTAAGTGAAAGTAACAGCATCTTGTGATGTGATCCTTAGGGCAGATACAAAGC